ATTGGCTTGAGTGGCCGCACTAACGGGGTAAAATTATAAACGTTTATACAGGTTGGGATTTCAGAATGTGGCCGTTTCTGTATTAACGGGGTAGCCGGTTGGGCTTTCTTATAAGAAAATGTGTGGGCATTTCGCCGGGACAGAAAAAAAGGGGCCGTAATAACGAGGTGACTGCAAGGCGGGCTTCCACTGTAGAAAAAAAAAAAAAACGTTCGGAAACATATTTTTTGTCTTGATAAAAATACCGCGAGTTTGTGGCGAGAAAATTATTTGCTGAAGGTGGAGAAATATTAAAAAAAGTCACTTCAAGAAGACGTCTAGATTATCCTCAAACAGCCTTTAATACTCCCATGAATCCTCGCCGAAATCTGTTCGGCTCGTTCATGGAACGTATGCCTCTAACTTTTAAGTGCTAGATCATGCAGCTCATAAGCTATTTCAAATTTCAAATTTGGCTAATAACTTTGGGTTAGACTCAAGTTGCCTCGCCCTCCACCCCCCACTACCTTCCCCCCTTCCCCCACCCCTAACGTAGGTTTGGGGTTGGCCAAACCAAGAGACCAAAAAAATTTGTTCTGACGCTGTAGGAAATTTACTCCACGTGGCATTGTTTTTATGTGATGTTACTAGGCAATAAAACTGTATCAAACCTTGATTGGTCATTCAGTTTGGATGCAAGCATTGTCGAGTGCTTCTGTTTTATTCAAATTGTTTATTTTATGTCACAGGCGATATGTTATGGGTCATGTTGATTAAAATGTGCATTATGATGTACCATGGAATGAGTTTTGTGCAGTATATATTCTCAGAGACAAATTGATACCTAGAAATCATTAATTGTTTTCTAGTATAACCATGTATACACTAACAATGACACTTGACTGTATTCTTACATCTCCTCCATGACAAAATCAAATAGAGTTGATATTTGACTAAAGTATGTAGAAACAATGGAACTTAAGAAGTGTTTGATTGCGTTACCATTTTTTGTTAGACCTTCACTGCTTTTGCCTACTGAATATCCATGAATGGGACAAACTATGAGACACCATACATAAAAAAGTTTTATACTTACAGGTATTTGGTGTTTTCTGCGGGACAAGAAGCACTAGTTTAGTCTCGCACCTATAAAGAAATCACATGTTGAGACCAAACCTTTTATCAATGTGTTTTTACAGGGCAACTGGAGGTCCACATAGTCATTCCTTACCAGCTATAACAGATTCCACGGAGAAGGCAGTCCGGCGAAACAGTCCAGCTCACGAAGGACCACGCCTGCGACAACTTGAGGGACGTGTGAATGTGAGTGAACAGTCGAACAAAGCATTATTAGAAGAACTTGTCCGATTACAAGGGGAACTGAAAGGGAGTATACGTCGCAATGAAGACACTTTAAGAGAGGAGAGAGAAGAGAGACTTATACTATCTGAAAAGATTCGTGCCGCCAATAATTTGTACACACAAATGATGATGAGAATGGCACGTGCTGAAGAAAAAATCGAGTCAGAACACAACACCGTTGGAACCCTTGTCAATCACACAAAGCAAGTGGAGCAAGCTCTAATGGGCAACCAACAGCAGTTGCTGAGTCGAAGAGAACAGATTCATGTGCATGTTGAACGAGTGAAGGATGACATCGAGGACATGAGAGAAAGCCAAGAACAACTGCAGAAAAATATGAGGGCTCTGACAGATGATGTGAGAACAATGAAGAGTAAACATGAGGTGCAGACTGTTCAGTTTGGTACATTGGTTCAAGAAATCAGACAAAGAATAAAAAAGATTGAGGGTGATACAAACACTGCTGTAAGTACAGCAGTATTACTCTTTTGTAGATTGAAATAGATTCAGTAAGAAGCCTTTTGCAGTCTGTGGACTCATTAATATGATGACCACTGGGCCATGAAATATCACTGGGGTTTTATTAGCCGAGCGGGTGGTTGTATTAACCATTGACTCCCGTGCCGCCCATAACCGGCCATGGCAACCCTTGGCCTCTGTTCCACTTCTGACATCATCACCTTTGACCAAAATTGGCATCATCTATACTGAACTTCTGCAGGAGGAAAAGATCTTTCCAATGATACCCAGATCAGAGTGGTTGGCTCAATGGAGCCTGAAATATACCCAAAAATGCTCAGAGATAGTGTGGGCTCCTTTCCAGAACAGCAGCTGGTAATCGAGCCCAGAACTTGAATGGTTTTGTTTTTTCTAGAAAGTAGCAAAGAACAAAATGAAATCTTGATCTCATACCAAATGTAGTTTATTGGTAGGACTAGCTTATAGGTTGATATTATAACAAATTATCAAAAAGTGTCATAAAGGTCTTTGAGGAAACAGAATGCAGAATGCTTGACTAGTTTGACTGTAAATAGTGAAATATTGTATCTTTTTTAACTGTACTCCCTTTTTCAGATGTCGTCATTAGTGAAACACCGTGATGATCAAAGCACAAATGAAGCAAATACACTTCAGTTCAAGAATATTATGGAAGCCAGGTAGAGTTCAAAATTTAGAAATACAAAGAAATCATATTTGAAGTCTGTGTGAGCATCACGACAGTTGGCCATCAGCTAACAGACTGTTCACCAGTGCCAGCAGTTTTCTCTGTTAACTGTTCTTTATTAATTGAGCCTCTTGTTAAATAACATATCTTGAATAAAACATATTCATAATTTGATGATTCCATTGTGCAGGTTAGCTGATATGAAAGAGGTTACAGGAGAACTCAGGAGGCGAATAGAAGCTGAAGAACATGAAAGAAGAACTGCTAACCAGCAGAACCAGCTCAGGTGGGTAAAGGGAGAAGCTTTTCATAACTTGTCAATTTTTTTTGGAATCAATTTTCCAGTGGGGCATTGGTAGTACAATCATCAACATGAGCCACAAAAATATGACGTTTCTCACAGGGTAGTTATATCATTAACAACATAACGTTAAATTATGTCTATCGTAGCATTATGCTACTGATAGGGATACTTATTAGAAATTATAGGGGCGCTTATTAAGTAAAGCACGTTCCGATTGGGGCCTTTATTAGCAAGGATAGTACTAAGTCAAATCATTATGGTGAGGCAGATTCCACTATACAGGGTACCTTCTTCATCAGGGACTGAAAAGTCAGGGATGTGCTATAATTACTCAGTGATATTATAAATGAATTTCATTTTTATTTTAGTCTAGAACAGCTAAAAGCAATGGTACAAGAAAGTAACCACCAGAGAGAACAAGAATTATATGCACACTCCATGAATTCTAAGGAGAAAGAAGACCTCCTTGAAAATGAGAGAACTATGATTGCTAGTAAACTAGCAGAACTTTCAGAAGAGCAAAGCAAAAAGATGTTACAGAAAGAGATACGCCTCAGAGAAGATGCTCAGGCAAAGTTTGTCTTGTTAGAAAAGGTAAGTAAAACATTCTTTTGTCCAATACCTATGGGAAGAAAGCAGTTACTTCAGTTTGAAATGTTTGAAAGAAAAAGTGAAGAACCACCTTTACTGGGTACTTGTTAAAGTGCCACTGAAACGAAATTTTCGTATGTGAGATTTTTGCTTAGTAATAAAGTTTCAACCTTACTTGGAAACACTGCAGACTTTTTTTTC